CAAGTCGTCCCTCTATTCTGCTGTTCTTTGTAATTCTTTGAAAGACTTCCTGTTTAAAAACCGTATGAAACTCCATGTAATATATTGTAGTTTACCAATCCTTAGATGTGATGACTGACTGCATTCCTTTTTCTTTAGGTTTTTATTTTCTTTCACCTAGCAATGCTTTAGACAGCAGCCTTCTCAGTAGCAACTCTTCTAACTAGCAGGCTTTGGCTGCCCATAGATGGACCAAAATTTGGGATGGAAAATTTACATTTGATCACCAGCTGCAGCACTAATTAGTGTATTTTCATAGCGGAGAAGTCCTTGATGTCCGGATACAACAAATGGTTTGTTTCTATACTCTAATTGCCACTTTGTCTGGACAGCTTGGTCTGTTAAAGTGGAATTTTAATCAGAAAATTAAGCCCTGCTAGATCACTTCAGGCTCACCCCTTTTGCAAGTTTAGCTATGTAAAACATGATAAATAAATGTCTATACTGTTTAAAATCCAGTCTAAAATACACTCTCATCCTGCGCTGCATATGCTCAGTTACTCTCCATTTTTAGGCATTGCCCAATTTGTAGAAATCGATCTGCTGATGGTCTTAAAGTGGAATTAAACCCTCCTATCCTTTACAGCCAAAGAAGCTACTTCTGTTTCATATGCAACTGCCATGGTGCTGCACATGTGATCTGTTATGACACCAGACATTTGATGGTTTGGTTGAGGACACAAGCAAATGTGATGGTTAGCAATCCCAACATTCCAGGAATGTAATAGTTTTTTGAAACTGTTAAATCAATGGGTTTAGTTACGCTTTGATTTACTGCTGCTCAGAGGCTCTGGGCTTCAGCAAAATGGCAGCCTCCAGCAAGAAAAAACAGAAACAATGCTGGAGGCAATTTGCAGCACACACTAATTTTGGTAGCATAACTATGTTCCCTACTAAAGAACCTTATTTATCAAGTTAAGGGTAAAGGTCCACTTTAACCACTTCCTGTCCGGCCCATGTATATAAACGGCCGGACAGGAAGTGCAGGAGCAGGTTGCCGTTCATAAACGGCACACGCCATTATGGACTGTGCGCACTCCCTGGGAGCGCATAACACCGCGATCCCGGTGCCTGCTGTGTCTTTGTACGGGACCTCTTTGTGAATAGGCGTAAGCAAGATGTCATTTCTGACATCATTGCTTACTACTAGTGAAATCTGTGGATGATCACAGAGATCATTACATGGTACAAGGCTATTCCCAACAGCCTTGTACCATGTGACAAGCTGTGACCAATCACATCTCAAACAGTATTTCTCAATGGCTGCAAGAATGCAGCCAGAGAAGGAGAAATGATTGCTTTTACTGCCTTTTTATGGGAGTAAAAGCAATCGGTATAAAGAAAAAAAAAATCATCCCCCCCAAGTAGTACAGTGTACTGCTGGGGTGACAGTATGTTTAAAAAAAACATAAATAATATAAAAAATGTTTTAAAAAATTATAATTTTTGGTTATAAACTAATTTGGGTTATTTGTTTTTACTAAAAAGATAACTGAATAAATTTTGGCCTACATTTATGAAGAAAGATTTATTTGCAACCTTTTGTAAGAAAAACATTTTTTTTTTTCTTCAACATTTTTATAGCAAAAATAAAAATCCCAGTGGTGAATAAATACCACCAAAATAAAGTTTTTCTGTCTCAAAAAAATGCTAAAAAATTAATGAGTACAGTGTTGCATGACCGCGCAATTGTCATTCAAAGTGTGACAGCGTTGAAAGCTGAAAATTGGCCCTGGGCAGGCAGTGGGTAAATGTGTCCGGACATGAAGTGGTTAAAGTTGAAATATAACAATTACTGACAGGATGGCCAGGTGGAAAAAGACTAAAATGAAGAAAACAAGTGCAGACAGCACATCTAAGGATTTGTAAGCTGTAATTTTTAAATACATTTTTGTTTTTTGGTTTAATGCCATTATAAAGTGTTTTTAAAGCTTCGAGGCTTCACAGCTGGCTTCCCACTGAGCATGCGCTACACTACGCTTTGTGAATGGTTCTACAGTCTTCTGGGAGCTAGGACGTGTCCCAGAAGGTTGAGGGCAAAGAGGGGGCCCTAGACATTCTGAGTGGAAGTGGTAGATGGGAGGGGGGGGGGGGGGGTGAGGGCAGAGCAGCGGAGCTTCTTCCCCTTTTGGGTAAAGTTCTGCTATAATTTTTTTTTAAAACTTAATCTATTAAACATGTTTTACATACTTGCTTTGTGCTCTGGTATTGCACAGAGCGGCCCTGAACCGCCTCCTTTTCTTGTGTCTTCCACCAGTGCTCTGGGCTCCTCCCTCCATAGGGAGCTTCTTCCTATTGGGGGGGCGCACCTGCGGGCTCGCTCCTGAGTAGGGTTATATGCTATTGAGCTATTACCGCTCAGCCCTTTACCACCCCCCCAATGGCTCTGTGAGAGGAGAGAGCTGCTGCAGACAGTCACGGGATTGAGGTCGAGCTCAGGCAAGTATGCGGGGCGTTTAGAAGTAATAGAAATTTATGTCCAACCTTTACAACCACTTTAAAGTGGCCTTTCCTATGTCCATGGAGGGTGAAGTTAGTTACTTTAAAGCCCAGCTTACTACAGACCAGGGGTGGACTGACCATTTGAGCACTCGGGCACTGCCCGAGGTCAGTAGGGGGCCCCATGAGATGCCCCTGGTACTTTTAATTGGCTTTTTCATAGGCTTTTTTTGGCTATGGGTGAGGACACAGGGGCCCCATGATCCCCTATTGCCCGGGGGCCCCATTAGTTGCCAGTCCACCCCTGCTACAGACTCATTTGGACAGTGCCCAATACTCCTCTCCCTATACAGTATTTTCACTTTTTCTTTTTGAAGAGCAACACTAATGTGATGTCAGAGTTGTGGTCTGCATCATAAATATGTAAGTGCAGGGAGATGTGATGATGCCCTACATTAGGATCTCAGTTTTGGGCTTTAACTCCAAACCACCCCCCAGCAGTACACACTCATCCTTCCACACTCCTGCACATTTTCTTCAGCTTCTGGGACATGTGAAAGAGATGTTGTGTAGACTTTAGATTTTCAGGGCTATTAACTCTTCCTTGCCCCCATGTGACAGCCCTGAGCCACTCATGGCACAAGCACTGTTGCAGGTAAAAAATGGGGAGCAAGTCGCATATACATTTGTAGCAGGGGATCAAAGGTAAGTATTTGTCATTGGGGGAGGAGGGGTTGTGTTTAAACGTCCCTGGTTACTTATACCTGTATGGGGCAAAAAATGTTGGTAAGTCATGATTATACTTTTAAAGAGGCAAAGGGCATGTCATATGTAATGGAAGGAGCTTGATGCCAGATTAGTGTTTAATTATGTAGCTACATAAGGGAGCTACTAATAGCAATGGCAGCTCAGACAGTATATTTTATCTAATGAACACCACAAGTACTGTTATTAACTGATATTGTGGACCTTAAAAGTGGTTTCTGTGCTGTTTTGGGGTTTCCATACTTAGTTACCGGTTCAGAACAAGCATGCAGTAACTGAGGTTAAAACATCTGTTCTGCATAATAATTTGGGGCCAGTCAAGCAATACTGAAGCCAAAGAAACCGTATGTTGGCCATCCTACTTACCCTGTTGGGAAGAAGTCTTCTACAGCTGGCTAGGCCGTGATGACAGGTTTCCTTATTACTATAATGTGTTCCCAAATCACTCCTAACCAGAGGTTTTTTTTTTTTTTTATTCTCCATTGAGGGGCCCAGGAACTCTTCAACCTTTGAGTTATACTGTCAGGCAAACAAACTAGGCCAGCCCAAGATAACTCCTACCGGCAACACCCCAAGTTTTTGTTTTTCTTTCCTTGGTGTCCCAATTGGATGAATGTCTTTTCTTTCAACTCTGTTACAGTAAAGACTAACCTATCTAGTGTGGTTGTCCTCAGTCCTGCCTTTGGAGTACCATGTCTAGATCTCACTTGACTGGACATTGCAGGGATAAACCAGAAGTGACCTTCAGGCACTGAGTTCCCTGTGAGGCGCTTTCCAGACTGTTCTGGTAAGAGTTGCAGAGTGCTTTCCAGGCCCAGAGTATTTTCTCAGTTTCTCCCTCTTTTTGAAGTCTCTGGGTGCTACCACATTGTATATAAGTTGCTTGGCACACTTATTTCCTGGTCCTGCTGATTTTGCTGTGGAAGGGATTAAAGCTATAGGACTAAGCACCAACGCCATTGGCTGGGTGGACTGTCATGCACGCTCTGCGTTTTTTTCCTGCTATTCAGCATTGAGGAAATCTCTCTCTGATGTGGCTCCTGCTCGCAAAAAAAACACATAACATTTCTCTCTTTGATTCGTTTCTGCTGCCTGTAAACAGTGACTTGGGTCACCTCCAACCTTCTGACCCTCACCTGCTAATAGCTGTCCTGGTTTCATGAGTATTTGAGGCCTTGCTGCCCTGCAGTTGCAACATGTGTGATTCTAGACACAGAGGGGACAACCCTGCTGTCCTGGGTCCTCCCATCTCACTTCTAACCATTCTGGAGTTGCTTGCAGCACACCTACTGATGGTGTTGATGGCGGCAGCCTGGAACCATGTTACCTTCTTTCCGATTTTAGTCTGTCCTATCCTTTCTGTCCACTATAGCTGAGTTGGGTCCTTGGCTTTTTTTTTGGCTTGACGTCGGCAGCCTGGAATCATGTTGCCTTCTTTCTACTCTTAGTCTGTTTTATCCTTTGTGTCCTCTATAGCTAAGTTGGGTTTGGTTGGGTCCTTGGCTTTTTCAGCTGAGGGCTTTTCTATGGTCATTCAAGACGTTATAACCCAGTTATTTGCTGAATGTGGTTGCAGAGGCTGTAAGCGAATTCCCGCACCCTCTCCTGCTGCTTCTAGATCTGATTTGTCTGCAGCGTCAGCAGCTTCCAAGTCATCTTCTTCAGAGTCTGATATTGAGGCACTCGAGTCCTTAAATGAGGTCCCCTGAGGAGTCGCAGTATACTGTCTTAAAGAAGGCTGTTCCAGCTCCTAATGATACAGGGTACACCACTCTGGATCAGTCTATTGCTTCTCTGCCAATGCTGTTTCTAGCCATGGGTTGCCTAAAACCCTATAAGGTTGCAATGACTTTTTGCCTTTGCACCGACTTCTCCAATTATTTCAGTATATATGGATTTTTGAAACCATCTGATCAGTTATTTACTCCCACCAAGTGCTTATTAGTCTAGTATCCATTTGTTGAGGGTGTTTGTGCTAAAGTTTTCCAATCTCCCTGTGGATCTGGCCCTTTTCCATCATAACACAGCACTATTATAACCGTGGAAGATGCACCTTTTCAAACACCCAAGCCTTAAGCTATTGAAAGCCCTTTCTAGAGCTCTGTTCTCTGGGGCAATGTCCTGTCCTTCACCAGATTCTGGCTGTGATTTACAAGCAGTCTTCAAAAAGTTTCTGCACTTTTTTTTAAACTCTATTTATTAAGAAAAACAACGTGGCAACTGTTATACTAAACTGCAAGTTCAGCCGGCTAGCTAGTCAGACTAGTCACATGACACTCTAGGACATGACCAATTACTACTCCTCCTGCCCTCACTGTTTCCAAACGAAAATATAAAAGTGCAGAAACCTTTGGAAGACCCCTTGTATATTGTCAGGCCATGTCTGATTGGTTGGTGCATTAAGAGATGTAACCACAACTGTGATTGATCCCTTTCTTACTGAACATGTTTAGCAGATGGCTGCTGTTACAGTTCTGATGGTTTGCTGGAATTGTCACCTAATTTCCTGCATGTGAGGTCAGTACATATGCGTAGGGCACTTCGCCTAAAGTGTTGCACTACAAAACCTGTGAGCAAGCAGTGTATGATCTGCATGGCCTATTGAGGGACACCATCTCTAGACTGGCTCTTGATAATGCTATCAAGAATGCTGCTGATGGCAAGACGCAGGGGCGGACTGACCATTTGGATACTCTGGCACTGCCTGAGGGCCCGGGGTCAGTAGGGGGCCCCATGAGATGCCCCTGGTACCTTTTTCATAGGCTTTTTTGAGTTTGGGCAAGGACACAGGGGCCCCATGATCCCCTATTGCCTGGGGGCCCCATGAGTTGTCAGTCCGCCCCTGGGCAGGAGCATCCATCTTCCTCTGCAAAAGAATCCCAAGGAACAAACTGCATAGTCTTCTCCGTCCCTCATTGTTAAACAACCCTTTTATTTCTTTATCACCTCAACCTTCATGTCAAGAACCCCCCCCCCCCCCTCCCAGGCTTGGCTCCCAGTCCACCTACAGTAGGGGTGTCCAATCTATAGCCTTCCAGCTGTGGAAGTACTACAAGTCCCATCATGCCTCAGCCTCTAGGTGCCTTGCCTGGGGAGGTCAGAGTCTTGCAAGGCCTCATGGGACTTGCAGTTCCTCAACTCCTGGAGGGCCATAGTTTGGACATCCCTGACCTACAGGGTCTGGCTGCTGCAGAAAAATCTGCCACTGGTCTCTACCAGGTCCCAACTAAATAACGGAGACTAGCAGCATATTCTAAAAGATGGTGCGGAGGAGGAATGGCGGCTGGAGATTTATTCAATGGTTAAATACCACAATTCCACTTTAAGCAACTCTCCCAGATTTTGTAGGCTGATGGCTGGTCTTCTGTTCACATGTTTTCTAAGTTCTACCAGGTGTATGTTTCGGCATCATCTGATAGCAGCTTTAGATGTAATGTCCTTCAGGCAGTTATGTGAGCTGCCAGCAATTTCCAGTTTTATTCTATTTTTTTGGGGGGGGGGGGGAGCTGTTAGGGAATGTTTACTGTGTTGTCCATCCCTTAGTTGGATTGCTTATGGACATTCCTAAAGTATAAAATTTCCCATATCTCTCAATGGATGAGAAAGAATTAGGATTTTTATATTTATAATACAAGACATAGAAGGTCTTTAAAGCCCGACTCGGAGAATTGGGCTTCCCTACACTTCAAGGGTTAAATGCTTGTTAGGTGAGACAAAGAGGTTCCATCACTTACCTGACTCCCCGCCCTGGCGCTTTTTTCACCTCTGCCTGAAGCTCTGATCTGTGGGCAAAGCCTCCACATCATCACTTATTCTATTTGGAAGAGGCTGAAGGGCTACAGTCGCAGCCGTGGAGGGACCCTGCTGGAGCGTGGAATGAGGTTCCTTATTACTTTATCCCTTCCTTTAGGTTAGGTTCATACTAGCCCTCATGCTGCGGGCTGGTTGTGGGTGCAGAAATTGATGCAATTCCCACACCGTGTTTCTCTTGTGAGAATATTTTATTTTTTTTATTTTACAATCCGACAATTAAATGTTATGAAACTGAAAAAAAAAACCCTCTGTTTTTTGAGCAGTGTTATTTTAAAAAATAAATTGTGTTATTGAAAATAAAAAGTGTGCATTTTATTCTGTAACTTGTCCTGCTTAAAATTATGATTCTGGTGCAAAGCATTGAAAAGTTATTCACAAATGAAATAAATTTATTTTTTTTCAATTTTGAGCTTTTTTCAATGTGAAATATGTAAATATATGTCAAAGGTGTAAAAATATTAACGAACAAAGCAAATAAAAACAAAGGTTTAATTATTAATATTTTATAAAATGGAAATGAAAAAAAAAAATCAATAGTAAAATAATAATTTAATGGAGGAGAATAAGGAGTTAATTAGGACTGATTAGAGTAAATTAAGATTTAATAGGGGTTAAACAGATGAACATTTAACCACTTGTATATAAACAGCCGGACGGTGGCAGTGCAGGGTTGTGTGGCCATTTATAAACGGCCTCCCCACCCCCTGCTTGTGCACGCTCCCTGGGAGTGCACAGCACTGTGATCGGAACAGTGGAACACCGATCGTCGGACGGGACCTCTGTGCAAGGTCCCGATCATGTGATCACTGATTGGCCATTCAGTGATCACATGAAGAGTAGTAAGCAAGATGTCACTTCTGACATCATTGCTTACTACATGTGAAATCTGTGAATGATCACAGAGGTCACATGGTACAAGGCTATTCACAACAGCCTTGTACCATGTGACAAACTGTTACCAATCACGGCTCACACAGTAGTTCTCAATGGCTGCAAGAATGCAGCCAGAGAGAAGGAGGAATAATTGCTTTTACAGCCTTTATGGGTGTAAAAGCAATCAGTGTAAAAGAAAAAAAAAAATCTTCATAACCCCCACAAGTAGTACAGTGTCACCATGGTGACACTGTACTGATAGGGCGACAGTATGTAAAATAAAACAAATAATAATATAAAAAAAAATTATAAATTTTGGTTATAAACTAATTTGGGTTTTTACTAAAAAGATAACTGAATAAATTTTGGCCAAGAGTTATGAAGAACAATTATTTATTTGCAAAATTTTATAAGAAAAACTTTTTTTCAAAATTTTTGGACATTTAAATTTATAGAGCAAAAAAAATAAAAATCCCAGTGGTGAACACATGCCACCAAAATAAAGTTTTATCTGTCTCAAAAAATGCTAAAAAATTCATATGGGTACAGTGTTGCATGACAGCGCAATTGTCATTCAAAGTGTGACAGCACTGAAAGCTGAAAATTGGCCTGGGCAGGAAGGGGGTAAAAGTGTCCGGACTTGAAGTGGTTAAATAATAAAACTACTTTTTTTTTTTTTACTTGACAGTTTGCTATTAACTGACTTCATCTGCAGTTTAGCCCTTTGATCTGTAGATGAATAAACAGTATAATATAAAAGTAAACAATGTTTATTTTTATCTTTCTGTTTTAGGCCCCTTTCACACTGATGGTCCGATCTGGTCTGCTTGTCTGTTTTTCAGGCTGACCCAATCAGACCATCCATAGACCTCTATGGACCGGCGGGTGTCGGCGGACAAATGTCCGCTGACACCTATCGGCATCTGATCCTGTATGCCAAAAACAAACGGATGGAGATCGGATAACAGTCGGGTGGAAATGGACAGATGGTCAGTTTCCATCCAACCGCCTCATAGGAAAAAACAGGCTGTATCTGTGTCCACTCTAGAGCAAGGAAGTGGACACAGACTTGTCATCTGCTTGCTTAGCAGGGATCAGGAGGAAGATCCCCTGCTGAGCAAACTGATCTGCTGGTGGGTCCGCCCCATCTGAAAGGAGCCTAAGGCTGTGCCATGTTGTTGATAAACATTGCCAGGCTTCCTTTTTTTTTTTTTCCAACAACTCCAATTGCTGGGACTTGATTACACTTCAGCTGTCAGCAGGGGAACCCCGATGACAGCTAAATGAGTCATTGGTTGTTAAGGACTTCAACGGGTAATTGCCAGATTTTTAAAAAAAATTTGCCAGCCTTTTCTTTCATTTACATTATAGCTGTCAGTGGGGAATCCTGCTGACAGCTGAAATAACTGAGCCTGAAGGTAGCGGTTTCAGGTATTGGAGCATTTGCACGAGTACCGATACTCGCGCAAATGCTTGGTATCGGCACCAGTACTGATATCAGTATTGGTGCAACCCTACTTAGTACATCAAATCAGTCTATTCAATATCAGATCAATGGGAGACAGACCAGGGGTGCCTAACCATCCCCCCCACACCTTTTTACATTTAGCTGGGCAGCCAAGCTGTAGATATATAAGACGTTCAAGGCGAATGGTATCTCCCACATGGAGTGTCCACTCCTTGTGGGTCGTGGGGGTGATCAGACTTCCAATGTTGGAGTATAAATTTGTGAGCTTGAAACAATCCAAGCCTGAAGGCAGGGAGTGCGACTTGGTAAAGTATAGAATAATAGAAAACGAGGAGTCGAACAATGGAGTCTTCGAGTGTGACATAGCCAGTCCCCCAGCCATATTCTGGAGTTGCGTGACTAGTACAGCCATGATTCCGGGAGGCTACCCCCCCAAGCATCCATCTTTAGGATGTTGCGGGGTGTTCTAGTTTAATCCTAGGTGAACTGTTATGTCAAAGTAGAGCTCTAAAAATTGTATCGATAATGTGGAATATCTGAAATAGGAGGACTACTGGTGTATTTTGTAGAAAATTTAACAATTGTGGCATGAAAATCATTTTTATGAGGTTGGTCCTTCCTATGAGGGACAGCGGAAGCCTACTCCAAATGTTTATTATAACGGGTGTCAAACTAGCGGCCCTCCAGCTATTGCCAGTCTACAAGTCCCATGAGGCATTGCAAGATTGACCGTTACAAGCATGACTCCCAAAGGCAGGGGAATGATGGGACTTGTAGTTTTGCAACAGCTGGAGGGCCGCCAGTTTGACACCCCTGTGATGGGATATCACGGTCATTATATTTAGTTGGCTGTATTCCAGAAGGTTGGGGAGATTACTAGATAAGGAGATCTTTTTGGGGAGATTACCCCAAATATTTAAAGGAGGACGTGGTAGGCACTGGGTAGTAAGAGGCTAGAGAGTGATTGACTACATAATCCAGCAACATTAAAGAGGACTTAGACCAGTTAACCTCCCTGGTGGTATTCCCGAGTGTAGCTCAGGGTAAAGTTTCAGTACCAGAAGCGGTAACCCCGAGCTACACTCGGGAATACCCTGCAGCACTGCTCCGGGATCTCTTCTGCACTTACCTTGTCCTGCGCTCCCGCAATGTCCCCCTGCAGTGTCCCCGGCAATGTCCTCCGGTGGATGCCAGCATCTGTCTTCCGGGTTCTGTTCCCTGTGACGTCAGGACGTACGGGGGGACGGAACGACGGGAAATTTAAAAATGACAAAAAGTGACATTCACTAAATACACTAAAATCACATAGTAAAACATTACTGTATCAAACCATTTCACATACATTTTTGTCCCGAGTGCTTTGTCCTGCGCCCTGCCTGCATTTTTACTGTTCTTTCTGCCTGGAAACTGAGAAACGTCCATGGCGTCCAAAAAGTGTCCCTTTAGGTCAAAAGCGGTTTTAGACCAGCTAGAGAACAGCGATAGTAAATTAGAACCACTTGCAGAATTGAGTGATAATGATTTGTGAGGAAATTCATCATCAGACACTGAAAACGATTTTGCGACTTTGCTCAGCGATATGCGAACTTGGCGCTCTATTTCAAATTTCAGTGTTTTTGGTTTGATTATATTATTGAATTAAATTTATTATTATTTATATTATTATTTTTTATGATTATTAAATTATAATTTATGATTTCGTGTTTCAAATTTTAACATACCCGGGATGTTTACTAGACTCTTGTTCGGACAGATTTCACTGAGTTATTCCTAAAAAATACAGGCCTACAATAAAAAAAAATACATATTTCCATGCAAAAAAATGTACCGCTTTGAGCACTGTAATACTGACATAATCAGACCGCTAGGGAGGTTAATAGACCTGAGTATGTCTCAAGCCTAGTGACAATATCCATAGCCAAAAGTGCAGCGCTAAATAGTAAAGTCTGAAAAATGTCCACTATAAGTCTAATTCATAAAAACGTGCCAGATGACAAGTAGAAATCAATGATGGTGATCCATGAAGAAAAGCAGAAATGCGCACTCACCAGAAGACAGATATAAGTAAGCGGTATGCATCAAAGCCCATGGATCCTCAATCAAGGAGAAAACTGGTCTGGTCAAAATGGGTTGATCTTCCCTCAAGAATGCAGAGCTTATCCAAAACAGATCCAGGTAGCCAGAGGTCTCCTACAGCTGGATGGACGGAAGGTGTCACCTGCTTACAGGAGGTCTTCCCCTCTTGGTAAATGCCTGAATTCTTAGTAAAGGACTCTGCAAAAAGGTACTCCTCTATTTTTAATCCCCTCCAGTCACGTGATCCTGCAGCTCCAGCTCCCCTGTGTCAGTGACTGCCTGCTGCAGGAGAGAAGGCAGGACCAACAATGGCCATTTCTCTCCTTGATTGAGGATCCATGGGTTTTGATGCATACCGATTACTTATATCTGTCTTCTGGTGAGTGCGCATTTCTGCTTTTCTTCACGGATCACCACCATTGATTTCTAATTGTCATCTGGCACGTTTTTATGAATTAGACTTATAGTGGCCATTTTCAGACTTTACTATTTAGCGCTGCACTTTTGTTGATATTACTCTGTTCAAATATTTATTGGTTACTTAGAGTGCTTAGCTGCTTTTTTGGATTAGCGCTCACTCTTTTATTATATACATAATATCCATAGCAAGATTAAGGGAGAGGTCCATGTCACCCAGTCATAAAAGCCTATTATCTACATAAAGTATGATTTTTTTCCTGTGAATCCCATATTTAAAGCCCGCTATGTTAAGCTGGGTACACACTACAAGAAAATCAGACAAACGATCATCTAGTTTTCCTCGACGTTTCACAGCAAGTCCCCCCCATAATGGTGCTAATTGTACGAAAATTCTCCGACGACAAAGGCTTTTTTTTGTTTGATGTAGAAACGTTGTAGCATAGATTATTGTTGTTTACTGTTTATGATCATACGTAGTCTTTCATATCTGATTTTTTCTCTTACGAAACAGTACACATTAAGGGTTCATGTACACTGCAGCTGATAAAGTCACGTTCAGGAGCTGTTCTGTGTTTTTTTTTCAGCAGCTCCTGAACTCTCCCTAATGTTCTCCTATGTGTCCATGTACACATCGTCGTTTACAGGCAGTTGAATTTACAGTCTTTTTGTTTGAATGCACCAAACTTGCGTTCAGGAGTAGATTTTATCAGCGCTTCAAACACAAAACGCTTGTAAATATGGCTAATTGCGTTTCTAAGCGTTTGCATTTAGAAGCGTTTTTTAACTGTTCCATATCCAGATGCTGTCCAGAGCTTTTTTTCATCATCAGAAATGCATGTAAAGTGTTTTCCATGTATTCCAATGGACCCGGTACACCAGCGCAGTCAGTTCCAGGTTTTGCGTGAAGGAAACAATGGTAGAACGCACCGCATTATGCTCATGATGGGATCCATAGTGAATACAACCAGAAAAGACAGGTCATCTCAACACATACTGCTCTCTCTGCTTCTGCTCTCTCTGCTTCTGCTCTCTCTAAAATGTCTGAAATAGTTAATTTTTTACCATTTTTCAGTGCATTCTGGGTCTTTGGGAAGGTCTCCTGAGGTTATCTTTAAAAAACGCTTCTAAACACAAACACACACATAAACGTGGTATGCAAACGCATCTAAACAGACTTTTTTTAACCTACGTTTTCCAGCAGTCAGTTTCCATCGTTCAGAAGAGTTTTCCAAACGTCCCGTGTACATGGCTCTAAGGCTCTGTGCACACTAGCGTTTTTTCTAAGCTCCTATCAGCATATTTTTTCTGCTCCTGGAAGCTAAATAGTGTTCTCCTATGTGTCCATGCATACTACTTTGGGCTATTAGCATTTTTTTGAGCTTCAGCATCTAGGAGCAGAAAAAAAAAAAAAAAAAAAAAAAGCTTTTTTTGTAGATTTGTTTGAGCGTTTTTTCCAGCAGAAAAAAACCCTAAACGCTACTAAAATGCCCCAATAAGCTTTTTTTTTCTAGCCTTTTTTTTTACCCTCTACATGTACTCTAAAAACGCTAATAAAATACTAATGCTCCTAAACGCTTCTAAAACACTATTACCAGCGTTTTTTATCCGTTTTTTTCCCCCCAGTGTTTTTTTTAGCTTATGGAGTATGGAGCCTAAAGTGGTTGTAAAGGCTGAAGGTAAAAAGTCTTTTATATGCAGCAGGGGCGGACTGAACACTCATGGGGCTCCTGGGGCAATAGGGGATCATGGGGCCCCCGGGCAATAGGGGATCATGGGGCCCCTGTGTCCTTGCCCAAACTAAAAAAAGCCTATGAAAAAGGTACCAGGGGCATCTCATGGGGCCCCCTACTGACCCCGGGCCCTCGGGCAGTGCCCGAGTTTCCAAATGGTCAGTCCGCCCCTGGTATGCAGCAACCCTCTTCCTCCAATACTTATTTGAGCCCCATCATGATCCAGTGATGTGCAAGAGAGCAGTGGCTCTCTGGGGAGTCTCCCTCCTCATTGGCTGAGACAGTCAATCACAGCTAGTGAGCCAATGGGGAGAGAGAGGGGGTGGGGCAGAGCCTGTGTGTGAATGGACATGCAAAGCAGCAAAGGAGTGAGCCAGCTTGGGTGCTTCCATAGCAAGCTGCTGGATCTGGGGGCACTTGTCAGGAGGGAGGGGCAAGGAGTGCCGGCAGGTACCCAAGAAGAGGAGGATCGGGCCTGCTCTGTGCAAAACCATTGCACAGGGCAGGTAAGTATAACATGTTTGTTAATTTTTATTTTTTTTTTATTATCTTTATTATCACTTTAAACTTGGGAAATTTCTGTTTGAAAAGTCTGAATTAGATGTCGAAAGTTGTGTACACGCTATACAAAAATCGAACAATCGTTTCTCTTTTTTTCATCTTTTCTCTGATAGTATGTACCCCACTTTACTATCCACCCTAATCCTGGCTTCCAAGGGTTCAATTATTTTAACAGGTATCTGTCTTTCACGGAAGTACTCAGAGTTTGAGGTGGTCATGTTGCAAGCAGCTCATTGCATGGATTGTGGCATCCCCAACAATATAATTCTGGTTCATTGCACTGAGAAAGGAAGGCAGGGGGTGCAAGATTTCTTTACTGCAGCTTTTGGGACTGCCATCTCTCACCTTGTGACTTGTTACATGTTACAGTCCATCACTGGGTGGGGGGGGGGATAAGGGGACTGATGAAGTGCTTCATCCTGCCTGCAGCAGACTGATGACATCATCAGGGCTGTGGATAAGGGGGTACCACCAGTCCTCCTGTACGGGGCTCAGGCCAGTAGGGGGGCCCAGACAGCTGGGTGAATCGGATGTGGGCAGGGACAGAGCGCACCACTGATCGCTGCGCTGCTCGCCTCCGGGGGCGCACACGCACAGTTAGAGAGTGAGGATGTCATATGACATCCTCCCAGAACGAGAGAGAACTGCCGCCTGTCCGTCATTTCCTTATATGGTCGGGGGGGGAGGCTGTTAAAGGCACGGGGCCACCACTATAACCCTCCCAGGCGCAATGCATCCTGGGGAAACTTGCTTTGTATTGCGAAAAAAATTTGTAAAACGAGGTATTATTTTCAATGGATTTTAATTCGTAAACCTAAAATTAGATTAACCGAGGCATTCATAAACCGAGGTGCTCCTGTATACAGTGAAGGAAATAAGTATTTGATCTCCTGCTGATTTTGAATGTTTGCCCACTAGTCTAAAAATCAAATGGTAGGTGTATTGTAACACTGGACGGGGCAATGTACCGTCACATCTTGGGTGAGAACCTTCTTCCCTCAGCCGTGGCATTGAAAATGGATCGTGGATGGGTGTTCCAGCATGACAATGACCCAAAACCCACGGCCAAGGCAACAAAGGAGTGGCTCAAGAAGAAGCACATTAAGGTCTTGGAGTGGCCCAGCCAATCTTTAGACCTTAATCCAATTGAAAATCTGTGGAGGGAGCTGAAAGTTCCAGTTGCCAAACGTCAGCCACCAAACCTTAATGACTTGGAGAGGATCTGCCAAGAGGAGTGGGCCAAAATCCCTCCTGAGATGTGTGCAAACCTGGGGGCCAACTCCAGGAAACGTCTGACCTCTGTGATTGCCAACAAGGGATTTGCCACCAAGTGCTAAGTCATGTTTTGTGAAGGGGACAGGTGTCTTTATACAGGTACTGTAACAAAATGAGATTAGCAGTATTCCCTTTAAGAGACTGCTTCTAATCTCAGTTTGTTACCTGTATGAAAGACACCTGGTAGCCAGAAATCCTACTGAATGATAGGGGATCAAATACTTATTTCCCTCATGAACATGCAAATCATTCATCATTTGTTAGACATGCATTTCTTTTGAATTTTTTGTTGCTATTCTGTCTCTCAGTGTTACAATACACCTACCATTCGATTTTTAGACTGATCATTTCTTTGTGAGTGGGAGCAAATACGCATTTCCTTCACTGTCTGTAAAGCGCTGCATAAATTGAGGGCGCTATATGAGTACCTGTAATAAATAAATAAATTCCTTTTTTTTTTCTTACTGCTTTAATTTCTTCCATTTGCTTCTATTGCTCTATGTTGCCCCCTCATGGTCTTTGTAGGTAATTTTGGAAGCCAATCACACTCGGGCCAGTTTAGTTCGTCTTACTGTCCTAGTTAGCAGCAGCAGCACACTGACCAAGACAGCCATACCCAGGGGCGGACTGAGCATTCAAGCACTCGGGCACTGCCCGAGGGCCCGGGGTCAGTAGGGGGCCCCATGAGATGCCCCTGGTACCTTTTATAGGCTTTTTTGAGTTTGGGCAAGGACACAGGGGCCCCATAATCCCCTACTGCCCGGGGGCCCCATGAGTTGTCAGTCCACTCCTGGCCATACCCTAACAATCCAGTCGGTATTCTATCAGGCCCCTGCACTACATAATTCATGATTCTAAAGAAGAATGGCCAATTAGATTGTAATGCGTGTGGCAAGTTAAGGACCAGAAAGGAAAGTATTTGTGATGTTAGTAATGCTGTAGCTTCTTACATTTTTTTTTTTACCAGGCAGTAGTAGTTGAGAAAATTCTGTGTAATGGTTGTGCAGTCAGTATTTTATTGAAAATGGTCTTTAATATTTATTTATTACAGGTACTTATATAGCGCCATTAATTTACACAGCGCTTTACATATATATTGTACATTCACATCAGTCCCTAACCCTCAAGGGGTGTACAATCTAAGGTCCCTAACTCACATTCATACATACACATACTAGGGACAATTTAGACAGGAGCCAATTAGCCTACCAGTATGTCTTTGGAGTGTGGGAGGCAGGGGCAGACTGACCATTTGGAAACTCAGGAGCTGCCCAAGGGCCTGGGGTCAGTGGGGGGCCCCATGGGATGCCCCTGGTACCTTTTTCATAGGCTTTTTGAGTTTGGGCAGGGACACAGGGGCCCCATGATCCCCTATTGCCTGGGGGCCCCATGAGCTGTCAGTTCACCCCTGGTGGGAGGAAACCCACACAAGCACAGGGAGAACTTGCAAACTCCAGGCAGGTGGTGATGTGGCTGGGATTTGAACTGGTGGCCCTACTACTGCCAGGTGGATGTGCTAACCATTTATCCACTGTGCTGCCTCAATATATTAAAAAAAAGAGCTCCAGTATGTAGTACTAGAAGAGGTCACGGGGTATTCTATGTAAATGTTAACATCTCTGTTGAGCTCTTCATTTTCTGTACATTCAAATGTGATTTCTCCTTCAGTCACCCGATGGTGATATGGCGGTAATTATAGGTCAGCTGATTCAGCCTCTGGCTTCCCTTAAGGCCTTGTTCATGTGGGCTCTGATGGCCGTACATGGTGAACGGATCATTGCTTACCTGTCCCTAGCCTGCAGGTGCTGCATGCAGGCATCCCATTCATGTCTATGAGGAAGCAGTGGCTGCACGGACACAGACGCTCATCCTAATGTGAAAGGCAAGTAAACAGCTTCGAACACACCCTGTCCAATACAGGAAAATGAGCTTATTAAAGCTGGCCATACACTATACAATCTGATTGTACAATCTCCTTTACATTTACTAAAACTGTAAAAATAAACATACAACTACTAAAACTAATACATACTAATAATAAAACTTAAAAATGTAACACGGGGACCAGCCTATACAATCCATTCCAGGGGCGGACTGACCATTTGACCATTTGGTCAGTAGGGGGCCTCATGAGATGCCCCTGGTACCTTTTTTATAGGATTTTTTGAGTTTGGGCAAGGACACAGGGGCCCCATGATCCCCTATTGCCCGGGGGCCCCATGAGTTGTCAGTCCGCCCCTGATCCATTCATTCAAAACTGAACTCCACCGCCACATCAATCCCCTCCCCCTGCTCCTATTTTGCACCACTTTTTTTTAAGAATCCAGTGCGTGGCACAGATGTGACACCAGTCTCTTCCAGATCCCAAAAACCAGGCAGACAGAGAGCGGCAGTGCGCATGCGTAGGGAATTCTGCGACCTCTGGCGTTTCTATGCATGTGTAGAAATCTCCCATGCGCCATATAATTGCAGTAATCTGTGCATGCGCTGAATCTTGCGGCACATGTGCCCTCGGTAACACAGTGCATCCTGGGATAGGTGTGATGTACCAATCCCAGGAGGCAGCAGGACTGGCCTAGGCTGGAAAGCAGGAAGTGTTGACTTGCAGCACAAAAAGATAAAAATTATAATACATTTTCTCCCTCATTTTTTTGTAACAACAAAAATAGGAAAAAGTTGCTGAAAATGAATCAAGTTCTGTTTTAATATCCAATCAGGAAGTCCCATAGCTGGTGCGTGATCTAAAAGAGTTTATACAATCAAATTGCATATGTATGGTCATTATGACAGTACAGAACTTAACTCGTCTCACTGCAGCTGATTGCTTGCTATGGGGTATTTGCACTTTGAGCATCATCCATGCCTCTGGGCATTTAGCCCGGGTTCACACTGATGCGGTGCGGAATTCACAGCATTTTCAGTGCGAATTTCGCACCGCATCACAATCACACCCCACTCATGCGACCCGCTGCGGGTGTGTATGTTAAGTTAACAACACCCCGAAATCGGTCTGCAAAACGCGGTGCGGTGCAGAACTGGATCGCATAGGTGTGAATACCCATGCAATCCGATTCTAGTGCGGACCCAAAAAAGGGTCCTGCACGTTTTTGGTGCAGGTGCGGTGCGAATAGAGCCATACAAAATGTACGGCTCTGATTGCACCGCACACAAATCGCATGTGATTTACACAGGAATGCGGTGCGGTTCCTGTGCGAATTACATGCGATATACCCGCACGGCATATATGTGAACCCGGGCTTATACAAGGTTTGGATGATGAAACTGCTCATATTTATGGGTTTCATCATTTTAATGGGTTTAAATGCGCTGCAGAGCTTTTTAGCATCATCCATATCCCTGGTTCACACTGATGCGGTGCGGAATTTGCAGCGTTTTCAGTGCAAAATCCGCACCGCATCACAATCGCACCCCGTTCATGCGAACCGCTGCAAGTGTGTATGTTAACAAAACCCCGAAAGCGGTCCGCAAAACACATTGCGGTGCAGAATTGGATCGCATAGGTGTGAATACCCATGCGATCCGATTCTAATGTGGACCCAAAAAAGGGTCCTACATGTTTTTGGTGCGGGTGCGGTGCGAATAGAGCCATACAAAATGTGTGGCTCTGATCGCACCGCACACAAATCGCATGTGATTTACACAGGAATGCGGTGCGGTTACATGCGATGTACCTCACCGCATATATGTGAACCCGGGCTTATACAAGGTTTGGATGATGAAACTGCTCAGATTTATGGGTTTCATCATTTTAATGGGTTTAAATGCCCCGCAAAGCTTTTTAGTTGTTTCCAAGGAGACCTCCGGTCAAAAGTTCACAACCAGAAAATAGTTTTATAGCTCCTCTGTGCTAAAGAGAATGAAAACATTCCATACCGTGTGTTTATGAATATTTTTGTAGGCTTTGGAGTGTTTTTAATTATACAACGTGAAGCTGAAGCATGCAGCGTCCTGGGAGGAGAGAAAGCCGCAGAGGGTGATCAAAGGGGGGGGGGGGGGGGACATTGTAACCTCGCTGCCCATGCCACACTACTGATCCTCTTACTGGCTCCATATCGCCCTCTACAGAACGCTAGTAGAACGCTCACCTGCTCCTATGGCACTGCTCCCCTACTGCCTACTACAGCCACGAGTTGCCACTCCGCGCTCTCTCCTGCTGATGAGTAAAAGTCAGCAGTCTTTCAGTCCGTGAAGGAATGTTCGACATGTACTGTGACTAGGGGCGGACTGATAACTCATGGGGCCCCCGGGCAATAGGGGATCACGGGGCCCCTGTGTCCTTGCCCAAACTCAAAAAAGCCTATTAAAAAGGTACCAGGGGCATCTCATGGGGCCCCCTACTGACCCCGGGCCCTCGGGCAGTGCCCGAGTTTCCAAACGGTCAGTCCGACCCTGACTGTGACATACTGAAGCAGAGCATGATCCCCTCCCTCTGGAGACTGGGCTGCAGGGCAGTATTCCAACATGATAACGACCCCAAACACACCTCCAAGATGACCACTGCCTTGCTAAAGAAGCTGAGGGTAAACGTGATGGACTGGCCAAGCATGTCTCCAGACCTAAACCCTATTGAGCATCTGTGGGGCATCCTCAAACGGAAGGTGGAGGAGCACAAGGTCTCTAACATCCACCAACTCGGCGATGTCATCATGGAGGAGTGAAAGAGGACTCCAGTGGCAACCTGTGAAGCTCTAGTGAACTCCATGCCCAAGAGGGTTAAGGCAGTGCTGGAAAATAATGGTGGCCACACAAAATATTGACACTTTGGGCCCAATTTGGACATTTTCACTTAGGGGTGGACTCACTTTTGTTTTCAGCGGTTTAGACATTAATGGCGGTGTGTTGGGTTATTTTGAGGGGACAGCAAATTTTACATGTTATACAAGCTGTACATTGACTACGTCACATTGTAGCAAAGTGTCATTTCTTCAGTGTTGTCACATGAAAAGATATAATAAAATATTTACAAAAATGTGAGGGGTGTACTCACTTCTGTGAGATACTGTGTATCTATCTATCTATCTATCTATCTATCTATCTATCTATCTATCTATATCTCTGTGGTCCAATTCTGATGAGTTTGAGAATAGAGGAACACGAGTTTGAGGTATTGACTTGGCCTCCAAATTCTCGAGATCTCAATCCAATTAAGTATCTGTGGAATGCTTGAAAAATAAGTCTGATTCACAGAGGCCCCACCTCACAACTTACAGGTCTTAAAAGCTCTGCTGTTGACGGCTTGGTACCTAATAGCACAGCATACCTTCAGAGGTCTAGCAAAGTCCATGCCTCAATGAGTTATGGCAGATGGCCATAATGTTATAGCTGATTGGTATATCTGTTTAGTTGTATCCAACTCTTGGGGATTCTGTGGGTCAACTCTCTAGCCGTCATGTCTGATACACTTAAAAAGCCTTTTCCATTGAATCTTGTTGGTGAATATTTTTACGGGGTAGGTCACTAGGTCTTTCCTCAATCCTCCCCAATTGCTTGAATTGGAACTGGCTTAATGAAGGTTATAACACATGTACGTAGTCAGGTCGTACACACATACTAGGGTCAATTTGAAACAGGAGCCAGTTAACTTACCAGCATGGCTTTGGAGTGTGGGAGAAAACTCACACAAACACAGGGAGAACATGCAAACTTCATGCAGATAGTGTCCTAGCTGAGATTTGAGCCAAGGATACCCAGTGCTAACCACTAAGCCACTGTGCCTCCTCAATTTTTGCATAGGAGCAGATAAGTGTGCTCTTTAGCAATCCTGCTCCTGGTGAGTTGCTTGATTACTACTGTGCTGTTGTCCTTCCCATGGAAGACATAACAGGAAATTATATATGTATAATCTATAAAGAGGACATCATTGATTTTTGGGGGAGGTATTGCAAACTACTATTCCCCCACCCCCACCCCATGAAACCAGCTCTACCTAAAAGAAGCAGGACCCAGGCATGCACACATGTCGTTGTTTTAACATCAAAAGCCTCTTCCATCTTGGACCGCCATAGAATCTGCACCTTTAAAATGAGGTTGGAGGTTATATTCCCTACCATACCATTGGGGATGGTAGGGAAGTATTAAGTGTAGGTTTCTTCCCTTCTGTACAACCCCCTACCCCTTCTGAAGATGCTTCTCTTAACTGAAAAAAGACTATGAAAAAGGTACCAGGGACATCTCATGGGGCCCCCTACTGACCCCGGGCCCTCGGGCAGTGCCTGAGTTTCCAAATGGTCAGTCCACCCCTGGGAAGAGGTGAGTGTCAGCTGCCAAGGGGAGCAAGGAATAGGGTAAAAAAAAAAACCAACGTTTAAAGCTGAAAAGAAGAGTAGACGCCACTCACTGACCTGAAGTGTCAGCAGTAGATGTATGTGGCCTCAGTCAACGCCACTCCGGGCACCCCCTTTGTCGTGTTTTGCCCTGTCCACGAAGGCTTGGTCAAAGGCCACAGGGCTTGGTGCATAGATTCCTGCTCCCTTCACTGTATGACCGGTGAGGGGTTTTTGTTTTCTGGCTTGGAGCAGCACTAAAAGGTAGTTATACTGCATTTAAAGCTATTCTAGATTTCTCAGATCACATGCCTCCGGGTTAATTGGCACAAATCATCTTTTGCCAATAGACTTGGCAGTAAGTTCATCATCCTCTGAAACCGTTCCACTATTGTAGGTAAATACATTCACCTCTCTTGGGATAGTTAATTCTTGTCAGGTTACTGTATATGTGGCTCTCAATCTTCACCCTGTACTACTGGATATTAAGGCTAGACTGAAGGCATGGTGCAGCTTCCCCCTTTATTTGATAGGCTGTATTCATTTACTGAAAACGAAAGTCCTTCCAAAATTCACAAAAACTCCCCTTTTTTTTCCAGACCCAACCATTTATGAGTTTCTTGTGGGGGCTAGCTGCCAAGATATACGCTTTCCACTTCAGGGTGGAATGGCTATGCCAGATTGCCAAAAGTATTTTATAGCTTTTCCACTGATGGCTGCAACCCGATGTCTCCAACTCCTCCACATTCTTGGAGGTTGCCATCCTACACTCCCTGGAAGGGCTTCCATTTTTATTGTATAGGAGACTGAAAGCTCCTTACCAACATACTCCGTTCATGCTTACTAACCTGAGAGCTTGGAATACTGAAGTCCTTGCCTCCAACTTCTCTCTCCCCCTATACTCCGTTATGGTTCAATTCTTCCCTCTGTCATTTCTATACACTCCCCAATCCTCATGACTAGGCCAAATACAAAATCAAGACACTGGAGCACATAGTTGAGGACCTCCACCTGCTTCATTTTGATGCTCTCCATTGTATATCTAATCTGTCTCCTCACTATTACTTTTGGAGCCTCCAGGTTTCCTATGCCTTCCTGATCGTCCACTAGACCTTACTCTGAACTTGAATCCCTGCTTCGAGTCCCTGATACGCAAAAATCCTTCTCGGTTGTCTAACAACACCTTATTACTGTATGACCTCCATTCCTGAGTTGTCTTCTTTGAAACAAAAGTGGCAGCTGGATGTTCCTGACCTTGATGAAGAGAATTGGTCAGACATGTAGGACTTCAAACACCTGGTGTCTGTAAGAGATAAACTCATCCAGTTCAAAATCCTCCACCATGCTGACTTTTCTCCTTTCAGGCTCTACATGATGAACCAGGAACTCTCTCCAGACTGATGGCGATGTACTCACCTATCTGAAGAATGTTTTCATGTATTTTGAGCCTGTCCGGCAATTAGCCCCTATTGGAGTAATGTTATCATTGTTAATAAGGCCACAGCCCAGCTCTCTATCATCCCAATCCTAGACTTTGTCTGTTGGATCTGGTAGAGGACTTGGTTCCTACCGTGGTGGAGAGAAACTCTCCTTAACCTCCTCAACCGCCTCTTGTTCCATGCCAGAAAGACTATCACAATGTGCTAGAAAAAAACCCTCTCCTCCCTTGAGTTCGTAAACTCAGTGGTATCCTAGGCAGGTGTGGGGGGGTGTGCGCAGCACCAGGTGACACCTATCGCATGGGGTGACACCGGGCCTGCTCCACGAAAAGGTAAGTTTTATATACGGGGTTAACTGATCTCTAAACAAGCTCCACGAAAAGGTAAGCTTTAAAGCAAGCTAACGATCCCCACAGGATGGATCGGATCTGCGGATTGGGGAGCATAATGGATCGGACTCTGATCCATTATGCTCAATCAGCAGATCCGATCCATCCTGCGGGGATCGTCGGAGGGGTGACACCAACCCTAGGGACGCCCCTGGGTAAACTTTAACATACCTCTATACTGAGATACATACTCTAGCTAAAGCTGTCCCAAAAAGTTTTTTTCTTTAAAAGTCTGGTCATGCTGGTTAGATGATCCTTTCACCGCTATGTCCTCCACCATCTGACAAGCCATGTACTTCTCCTTATATTGTTGTATTTTATACTGAGATATTTTTTTCTTTTCTTTTTTGGGAACACTTGGCTATCTACCTCTTTTAGGGGGAGTCCTTACAATTTTTAGGGCAAGGTTTTATCCTTTTCATATCAGCTTTCAGTGCTGGGGCCGCACAACTTAGCAACTGTTAACAATTGTATTGCACTATATTTGTGCTATTGTGTGCTAATGGCAGTGGGCAGGAAGGGGTTAACAGGAGGGGCGATCAAAGGGTTAACTGTGTGCTGTTTTACTATTTGCGGTGTGTTGGTGCTTCACTGTAAGCACACTGCTTTGGTTGGCTGTGCTGTGCACAGCCATCCAAAGCAGTGTGCACAAGCTGACAGGGAGGAGAACTATATTGTTTACATACAGTTCTCCAACCCTTTGGATAGCCTCGTCAATCGCCGGGCACCAGCGACTAATCACCAGCCAGGATTCGGTGATTGACAGCCATGGCCGCGAATGGCATGATACGTCATTTTGCGCATTCATGCCGCCCTGTAGCAGTATATCTGCTATAGGGCGGTTGGGAAGCAGTTAATTATAAATGCACTAATCCAGGAATGTAAACATTACCAAAGTGTTGTTTCCAGTTATGTAAAAATTACGCTGTAATTCCCCTTTAAACAAAGTTGCTGTTTCATTCCGCACTGTTACCTTCTTCCACTAGAGGGAGCTGTGGGTTTGTGCATCTGCAATATATATAATAAGGCAGCTTAGGTTTGGCATTCTTGGCTTGAAGAATATATTGATAGCTTTGTGCGTTACAGAATGTCCATAGTGTTACTTCAAAAGCCTGGAAAAATAGTAATAACCTCTCTCGATTTTTAGAGAGGCCATTACTAAGTTTTAGGGGTCAATTCACTAAGAGTTAAATAACAAATGAAAAAAATGCGGTAAAAATAACACACATCCGCTAAATTGTTTGCAAATGTGCAATTCACTAAGACTTTTGCGGTAAATAACTCTTGCAGTAAAATACCATTTTTGCGGTAATGACTGCATATTTTCATACGGTAATATATCGCACGGTAGCTGGTTGTTAAGGAAGTCAGCCGTGGCGTTCATAACAATGGATAACTCATCAGCTGTCAGCGGGTGTCCCATTTTTAT